GTACCCACTGTGTGTGTATGTATGTATGTATGTATGTATGTATGTATGTATGTATGTATGTATATATATATATTTATTTATTTAATTATTTTTACTCACAGTAGAACTGATGGAAGTGCTGCATTTGGGGTTTTCCAGGTACTATGTTATAGAAATGAGGCTTCAGAGCGTCATTCTTCATTAAGCTGTATGCCATCTCTGTCAGATTGATGCCCACTATGGCATACGAGTACCTGCAATGACACAAAGCATGCTATGATGAGGAGCAACTTTTATCAGTTATGATGGCGAGAGTCATCAGTGGGGACTCACCCTAGTCTGGGGTGATTCGCGTGTGACAGAACCTGCCGGGCTGCGTCTGTGTAATTCTCACTGAAAAAACTGGGCAAACGAAGAAAAACGTCAACTTAAAAGCATTAGGGAAGCAATGAAACGTCATCTTCTCATAAGCAGAGAAGCTGCACTTACAGGAGGTTTGTGAGGCCCAGCATCCCCATCCCTCTGAAATCAGTCTTGGGATCGTCGCCCTGGAAACCAATGTTTCCCCACTGCTTAGTGATCCTCGAGTCCAGCTTCACTGACGGCATTAACAGATCCCACAACTGACAGAAAACAAACACAAACCAGTCAGAACTGAGAACCTCTGAAGCTCAAATGTGACCCTGGAGCACAAAAGCAGTCTTATAAATCTCAATTTCGAAAAATTGACCCTTATGACTGGTTTTGTGGTCCAGGGTCACAAATCATCTTCAGCTGAGATATCAGACCTGATAAAAATGAGATAAATCACCTTCAGAAGCATGTTCTCATGTTCTTCATTCTCGGAGTCAAACACCTCTTTTCTTAGTTCCTCGACCGCCTCAAACAGCTCGTTATATCCGCTGATTTGTAACAAACATTGACGGAGATTCACCTTAAACCTGTAAGAGAGATTTTTTTTTTTTTGCATGTAAAACTGCATTTAGACCTTGATAATATCCACAACATACACATATCTCGAATACATGCTACAAATAAAACCATAATCAACTGTGAAAATTAGACCGCAAGAAGAAACTAGTACAGTAAACAAGAAACCGTAGTAAAAAGGGTGCTAGAGTTAATAAGCTCATTATTGATTCACTATTAGTCATAAATGTTTATTCAAGTCCAAGTGTTTTTATTTACATTTATGCATTTATCAGATTTTTATATATTAAAATAAATATGTAACAGTTTAATATTTATTAAAAGTGTTTTAATATTATTTTCATATATTTTAGATTGTATTTTAGTTATGGAAAACTGATTCTAGATTTGTTTTAACTAGATTTTTACATTATTATTAATTTTACATAAATTATCATATGTTCGAAATTCATTGATTGGGACATTTTACACTATGTAATGCCAGGTGTATTTTAATATGCTGATATGGGATCATGTAGTTTGAGCTTTATTTATTTAATTTCTCCCTTCAAATATTGCTATTCCAAATTAATGGATGTTGTATTTCGTGAAAAACAATAAATATATTGTTTAAAAAATCTAACATAATAAATTTTGTCAAACAAACTGGCAACAGAGGCTACTTGGTCAAAATAATGGTTTAAAAAAAACTGGGAAAAAAAAACG